TAATAATAATAATAATAATAATAATAATAATAATAATAATAATAATAATAATAATAATAATAATAATAATAATAATAATAATAATAATAATAATAATAATAATAATAATAATAATAATAATAATAATAATAATAATAATAATAATAATAATAATAATAATAATAATAATAATAATAATAATAATAATAATAATAATAATAATAATAATAATAATAATAATAATAATAATAATAATAATAATAATAATAATAATAAAATGCTCCGATAAGTTATAATTAACGACTGCCCTTCGCATTTTATAATAATAAGACAAATTAATTTTGTCTTACTCGGAATATTACACTCAGAATTAATTGATTTGCTGTGGTTAGAAACTGTTTTCTTAATAATGCGATTACTAATTTTAATAGTAACAATCTTTTACATTGGTTAATATTTAATTATTCTAATAAAACATGATAAAATATTTTAAAGTCTTACTAGTATTATTAGTCTTGACAAATTTAATAAATGAGATTTTATTACTTTCACATCTTTTTGGTATTGTAAATTATGATGACTAATAAGTCAGCCTAAATGGACATCTTAAAGGATAATTATTTAGATTAGTAATTTAAATATGGAAACAGAAAAGGTAGCATAACGTAATACTTTTATAAAGATATTTAACCTACAGACTGCTTCATACGCTAACATTTTTGGTCGTTTTATTTTTACTTTCTAATAAATAAATTCTATGAATCCAATAATTCCAATAATTTAAAACCTAAAAACCAAATTGATTTCCAGTGATTACCTTTTATGGGAAATAAAGTCGAAGATTCAAAAATTTGAAATTCCAAAAATGCATGAATAGAAAAACTTTTTTAATAATAAAAAAAGCGGAGAAAAGTAAAAAAATACGAAGAGAAAATAAAAATAGATAACCGATAACTATAGCAGCATTAGGATCCTAGTTTCCTTTTTTCCACCCTTGACAAAATTTCTTAAACGCAAATTGAAATTTTTGAAAAATTTAGAATAAGATAAAAATTCATGATTCACGTCACTGAAATAAAATTGATGTAGCAAGAAATTTTGATCTCTTAATGAGAAAATTTGACGACACATTACAAATTAATTGTGATAGAAACGGGGCCATTTCAATTGTCATTGCATATCAGATGAATTGTCGACATGAATTCAGTAAATATTCAAAAATTATAACTTAGTTATACACGGATCTATAAATAATAAGAATATATAAGAATAACTGTTATATATATATAATGGGAATAATTAGAAATAGTATGAAAATGCTTAATAAAAATGTAATCAAAGGAATTTATATATAGTGAAATTAAACGATAAATAATGAATGGTTGATGCTTAATTAAAAGCATGATTAGACTATCAAAAATCATCATTAATCAAATGATTAGTGATAATTTAAGCTAATTATTTCAAACGATAATATCAGAAATGAATAGCAAAGAGGGAGAAAAAGCGCTTCGTCAAATTTGCTAAAGCAGTTAAAAATTGCTAAAAGATGAATTAGTCTTGAAATAGGTGAGGAAGGAAAAAAAGGCCGACTTTTTTTATCAGATTGACAAACAGAAAGCAACAAAAGTATAGAATTTTGCTATGACGTTATTTTTTAATGTGTCAGTTTTATTTGTTTAACTTTTTCAGTTTTGTTCTTTTTCCCTCTCGATACTGTTTTATTGTAATTAAATTTAACTTAAAATTAAAATTCATACTATTTTACTTTATTAAAAGGTGAATTGCAAAAAACGCAGAAAAGAAAAAAATTTATAAGTGGAAAAACAACAAAATTTAAATCAGTTTCAACCAAAAACAGGCGAATAATGGAATTTGCCCTTTTTTCGTGGATTCCTCATACATTTAGGTTTATCATTTAATAAAGTTCAAATTTAAGTACAAGATTCAAATTTGCAATAAAATTATCAAATTAATATTTTTTTTTCATTTTCCTCTGGTAAAATAAACATATTTGAAGTAAAACAGCAATGATAATAAAAGAAACTTCAAAAAAATTCAAACTGAAAAAATTTACACAAAATGTCGAAGAGAAATGAAAGTTTCAATGTGAAAAAAGGAATAGAAATGATGTCATACAATGAATGTTGAATAATGTAGACAAAAAAAAAGAAAAAAACTGAATTACTAAAAATAAAAAAAAAGTTTGAGACATAATGAAAAACAATATAAAAATTTACCAAAAAAGAAAATTACGAATTCAAAATTTTGTGAGAATTAAGGAACAAAAAAACAGGACGAGAAAGCGATAGAAAGAAAATATATTATTAATAATAATTGATTTTAAATAGTATTATCAAATACTATCGCCACAAAATAATTAACTGTTAAAAATATTAACAGTAACTGACTGAATAACTGATTACTAGCAGTTATTAATAATAATTAATTGTAAATAAAAGTTATCACTGTTCCATCTGTTGATATATGTAGGTGAAAATGAATCATTATTGTTGATATATGTAGATGAAAATGAATCATTAAACAAAAAATCAGTAATTTCAACGAACATTTCATTTATTTATTTATTTTTAACCAATGATTCATCAAACAGTTGTTGTATTTGTTGAAATTTCAATTTATTCATTGTGGAGAAAAGAATTTTGTTTTCAAAAATACTCAGATTATTCCATTTTATTAATTAAAATAATTAATTAACTAATTATCCAATTAATCAATAAACATATTAGTAGTAGTGATAATAGTGAGACAGAGAGGAGGAGGAGCGAGGAAAGGAAAGATGCTGAAGGAAATTTGTTCACTTTGGAAATTTCGAAAATATTCGAAATGAAAAGAGAGGGAAAGGATAAATGTAGAGATAATAACGAGAGAAGAGCTGAGATGGCATTTCATTTTACTACTTCACTTTCCTAGGCACAACGTTATACTACTTTACAAGCACTCAATCAAATTGAGCTTAAATTTAACCGTCATTTTGTGCGGCTAACATTCACCTCAACAAAACCCATTCTCAGTTTAACATATCAATTGCTTAGTGCAGTAGCAAACCTTGCAAATATATATATATATCTATATAGATGAACAACTATTTGAAAAGTGTCAAATTAATGTAATTTATTAATTATTAAAAACATTTTTTCGTTTTTTTTCGGAAGTTTTTTTTTGCTATTTTAATTTTTATTTGTGCTAAATTTTGATATTCAAAGAAAAAATCTCTTTAATTACCTTTGTCAAATCTCTTGTAAAATATTTTTTCCTTTTTTTGGAATTTTTTTGTCATATTGATGACAGAAATTTCTTTAAAACAAATAAAATCAAAGATATCAATCAAAAATTTGTTTCTCAAATTTACTTTCTTTTTTTACGATAATAAAAAGTAGGAAAAACAATTCTGATGTATGGGATCGTTGCAAAATTTTACTGACATTTCGAAAAAAAAGAAAAAGAAAAAAGAAAAAAATAAAAAGTATGTAAAGAATTGAAGCAAAAGAAAAATGTAAATATCATAAAAAATAAGTCTTAGAAGAAAACGAGATGTTGCTGAAGTTGCCAAAAAAATCAATCGTTTCAGTTGTAAACATTGAATTTTACTTAAACATTGAATTTTACTCAACATCGAACTTTGCAAATTTTTTATTGGATTTTTTTCAAATTTTGCTATCCAACTTCATGTTTCTAAGTTAAATGTTAATTTTCAAGAGGAAAAATTAAGTCTCACCATAAAGTCATCCTCTAGCTAAAGCGATTGAGTATAGTCATTTAAATTTCAAAAGATTTTTTTTTTGATATTAATTTGTAATCTGTAGAAAATACAAACCATTAAATGTTAAATATTAGTCTAAATGGAGTTTATGGTATAAATTAGACTCAATTTTCATCTTCACCGAGATCAATACATTATCCTAATTGTAATACAGTATGCCAGAATGCAAAAAAAAGTGCACAGATATCTATTGCAAAAACAAAGTGCGACACGAAAAAACTCAAGAAAATGAATTATTTAATGGCGATTTAAAATTTAAAACATGAAGCTAATACATCTGCAGAATTAAAATCATAAAATTTTCATTTGATTTGCAAAATATGTCACTTTGTTAAAATATCTCAAATGAAAACATTTTCAAATTTTATTTATATTTAAGATTTACAAATAAACATTTAAAAAAATTAGCGTATATATATATATATATATATATATATATATATATATATA